ATTGACGACTCTTGCCGCTCCACCTCCCTCCTCTCCGGGACTTTGTGTACTGCCGACACCATCTTCTCTGTGCGGGACACTATTGGGCGTGTCAGCTCCGACGTTCGTCGTGTCGATGGAGTTCTCTCAATCGGCGATGAACCTATCATTGAGAGTATTGCGAGGGACTGCTATGATCTAGAGTCTGCACTCTGGCGTGTACGTGTCGTGAGGCTCCTCCTACAAGCCTGGCGAGCTGCGATCGGCAGTGGGACCCCTCCGCAAGCTGACGTCGTCTTTGGGTATGCTGGTTGTTATGATCGGAGTAATTTGGCTGTCGCTGCTCGATCCGCTCAGAGGAACATGCTGACCGCAAATGATGGCAAGAATCCCCGGAGTTACCTTGGGGACTGTAAACCCCAAGACGGTGGTCCCCTCCATCTACTCTCATGCAGCGACTGCCCGGAGGTCTATGTGTTCCGCAGCGGCTTGCCATCCGGTGAGGCCATCCTATCATTCTACATTCCTCGCACTGCGACCGTTCTACGACGTCTGATTCTATTAGATGCCCACCGCCGGTCGCTCCACAGTGGTTTATCTGGTACTGTAGTAATGGTCGCAGCTCCTTCCCCGTTAATTGACGACTGAGTACTAGACATAGGGTTGTAGTGGAAGTAGTAGTTAGTAGAAGATTAGTGAGTTAAGGGTGAGAGAAGTTAAAGAGACAGAGCGACACAATAGCGGAAATCGATCGTCCAATCCCTTCATGAGGGATTTCCTCATAAGGGGACAGCGATTGTGTTACTATCCACGTATCAACGTGGGGTGTCGGAGGAGATGGGACAGGCTGTCCCGGACAGTTGTGTTACCGAGCGGGAGTTTCGCTACAAATGCCCCCCCCAGTGAGGTAACCACTGTCTTAGATTAGGACTCTCAATCAAGATTAAGACCTCTCGCTTCCAGCCACTTGGTGATACTTGCTGGGATTCTTCTGCTTTTCGTAGGCTTGAATCCGACGAAAAATTCATCTTTCTTGATCTGCCAAATCTGTTTCTCCTTCCCCTTGGTGAGCAGCCATCTGTTGGTCCTCGGGCTCAGGTCAAGGCCAACTACGCGTATTGTAGTCGAGCGATCTAATCCTCTTTGGTGTGGCGACACCTCACAGACGAAATATTGCCAGAAGGGACGCTCACTGTCGTCGTCTGTCATCCTTGGCGCATACCTCCATTCGCAGATCAGCCAGTCACCGGCGGTCAAGTCGGGGAAACGAATGGACTCAGGAGGTGGGCTCCCAAGGGCTCTCGCCAACGAAGAACGTTGTGGCTTCGCTTCCGAATCGAGGATTGCACGTATAGGATTAATCTTCCGAGGGACTAGACGGCTCGTCGGATATAGTCCTTTTAAGCCTTCCAGATAATACATGAATCTGTTGTGAGGAGCTCGGCTAATGATACTATATTCGCCTATCACCACCCGGCTGCCCTTATGGTTGAGACCGACGAGCAACACTTGATCTCCAGGTTGAAATACCGTTAGGTCTCTTTGGCCTGCTGATAGTAGGCTCCTATACTCTTCGATGACTGATCTCTCGTCCCTTAGATGAGTGTACAGGCCATATATAGTATTTATGTGCTCATATAGCGATTGCCATCGGTCAAGCGTGATGGTCTCCGCTGGACTATCCTTAGTGAAGCTCGCGTCTTCGATGCCCCTGAGGAGGGTCGCATGGTCGGATCCGAGAGCTAGTTCTGAAGGAGTGCTCGTTGGTAAATCTCGTAAGGGACTAGAATTGTGGACTCCGATCGCTAATATGGCCGTTGCCCACCAGGGCATTCGCCTCTCGTCCCGGACTGCTTCACCGACATGGATGGCGTCCTTGATCTCTCTATTCACTCTTTCTACTGATCCTTGGTGTCTCGGAACACCTGGGGTACCGAACCGTTTTCGAATGTGGTATGCATCTAGGAAATCACTCCATTCGTCTGACGCGAAAGCCGGTCCATTGTCTGATTGACACGAATCTGGCCTTCCATACGTCGATATCCATATTAGGAGACACATGATTGCCGACCGAACTGTCATATCCCAGCATGGAAGAGCCATTGCGGCACGGGTGCCTTGGTCAATGATGACTCCCATATATTGCCAGTTTCCAGGACTACGGTCCTCGTTTCCGAGTGGTCCTATGAAGTCGATTTGGATATTAGCGAATCTCGCACCGGAGCGTCTGCGAAGAAGGACCGGTGCAATGGTTGGCGACGTCACTTTGCCCTTCTGGCACATTTCGCATGTCGCGGTGAATTGCTGTGTCTCTCGACTCATATTTGGCCACCAGAAGCCCGCAGAACTTATTTTTTCTATACATTTCGATGCTCCACGGTGTGATCCGGTAAGGGCATCATCATGGTAGTGATACAAAGCCCAAGTTTGCAGTCTCTTCGTTGGGAGGAGGACTCGGGCTCTTTGTTGTCCACGATAATAATCTTTGAATTGTAAGACATCTGATGTCCATTCGATCTGTTCACCTCTGGCCGTTCCTCCCAACAGTCTCTCGGCTGATTGATCGCTGATTTTCCCTTGAGCTGCTTTCACGACCTTCTCAATTGGTATGCCCAGGAGCTGCAAATCAGAGTGCTCTTCGCCGTTGGTCCGATAGAAGTCTCGTATTTCGTCTAACGCGTCCTCCTCTCCCATATCGCATATTCCACAAAGGCCATCAGTCGGTTCTGGAGTAGTCACTGAAGGCGCAAAAGACTCCACTGATCTGACCGCATCTGTCCCCTCAGGTGGAGGATTTGGGTTTGCAGTTTGTGGGTTGGGAGTTAGTATGAGACATGGGTCACAGCACTGTTGTTCAGGGATGAGAACAAGCGCACCAAGTGTAGTTGGGCCGGAGGGAGTCATATTATGGATCGCGTGGTCGTCCTTTATGGAATGGACGTGGCCAAGTTGTAGTTGGCTGTTGCGGCTGTAGTTTGTTTTGTGAGTCTCTGTGGGAATTGATAGTTGGGGTATATTGTAGACTAACCGTGAAAGGTAATCAGCTCGAGTATTATTTGTGCCGTCGATGTGATGTATAGCCGTTGTTATATGATAATCCTCTTTGAGCATGTCAATGATTTCCTGGAGATTCGCACATAGGCGAGTAACTGCTGTAACATCGAAGGAGCGCATATTTGGGGCTAAAGAATTAGCCCATGCTACTGCACATTGGTTATCGGAATAGATGTCAATGGTTGTTAGTTGGTTACGGCAAAAATGTTTGGCAAAATCTGCAGCTGTAGAAGCTGCTTTGGTTAGACAAAACATTTCTTTTCTATTGACATGCCATGCTGCGGCTTCTTTGGGTTTGAAGGCTATTGCGTATTCTACTAGAGGTAGAAGCGGAGAATCCTTATCCTGTGTGGTATGGATAGTCCAGCCGTAGCCGTAAGTGGAAGCGTCGCAGTGAACGACTATTTTAGTATGTGTCCGTGGGACTGATTGATGGCCGGTGTGAGGTATGGCTAGGTGAGTCATTCGATCATGGATAAGGGTTAACTTTTTCTGGTTATCCTTTGTTAGTTTCCATTGGCGATCCCAATCTGTTCGCTTATTTCCAGGAAGTTTCCCTATCCATGAACGTAGCCAGTCACTGTATAATCTAAGATCCCCGTGAGTGCGCAGCGGATCGTAGAAGAGGCCTGCATAAGAGGAGACTTCTCGTTTGGATACAGAGTCTTTGGCGAGTGGTGGTGGAGATTCTGGTGGTATACACTGTATTGTC